ACATTAATCTACATTGAATTGAATTGAATTAATCTACATACAATTTAAAAATTTCTAAAAAATCTGTATTTTGACAGACTCTTTTAAAAACTTAGTCCTTCGTCTCGTAAATATTTTTCTTTATTGCTCTGAACTTTCATATCGTTGCATTTTTCACCATATTTCTTTACTGCTAAGCTGCTGCTCATTTACTGTCTGACAGATATACAAAATGACATTTCATTTTTCTATACACTATGTGTATAGAAAATGAAAATAAAAGTTTTCTAAGTCTAATTCTAGAATAGCCTTGCATAAATCAGTTTGAGCTGCAGGAAGGCAGAGGAAATGCTGAAGGTTTATTCATAGCAGATGGGGATCAACAGAAGGCTGAAAATCCAGGACAGCACAGATAAGTCAAATCTGAATATAAAATGGGAAATAAAGGCTATTAACATTTTATGTAACATAAGTCAAAGCTGTGAGAAGATGAAACCACCAGGTATTTGGTGTGTGGTTTTTGACAAATAGATGATCATTAATCATGACAAAACTAAATAGTGTTACAGTTTGATTTCTCAGTTACATGGAGAAAAATAGAAGACTTATTGATCTGACGCTCTTTGTCGCTTTATCATTAACCTCCATAAAAGATTGTTGAGAATGCATGAGTAAAACACAATGTTGCCAAAAAGAAGATGAACCAATGAAGTAAACAATGAAATATAGAAATAGACAGAAATACAGTTAAATTTTGTAAATTATTAATAAACAATTAAAACAGAGTATTTAGACGGAATAACAGCTGCCAAGAGCAGATGCTAAGCTTTCAACCCTCAAAGCATAAATAGCTGAGGAGTATTCAGTGACTACATCGTTTACTGCACACTAATCTGGGTCATTTTGAGCATTAGAAAATTAATATCTGATTTGACAGCTGTTCTCATTCAGCTTTTCCTAGACAAATATCAATAATACAGGACATAAAGAGTGATTCTTCATTGAATAACTTCATTCTCTCTACACCACTTTTTGTTTTACTTTATTTATCCGTCCTGTAGCCAGTGGGTTGCTGGTTCGAACCCCTGTTCCCTCTGTCTCGTTCATCATGTCCTTGGACCAAGGGTGTAACTTTGTGATGAAAGTTGGTGGGGACACTGAAAGAG